GATCACGTACGTACATGTACAAGAACATGTACATGTACTTGTACATGTACATAGTTTACATGGTACATTGTACATTGAACATTGAACATTGAACATTGTACATTGTACATAATCTCAATTATCATTATGTACTCTTGATATGAATGGACTTCGCACCTACCATCTCATTCACTCGGGTTCAACTCAGGCAAAGACAGACCCCGCCACACTCTGACGCCATCACTCCGCGTTCAGTTGCATACTATCAGCAACCACGCCAAGCTGCTACCGCCAGTCAATACCGCTACCGGGTTAGACCAACACTTCTCTACGACAATGAGCAACGTACATGCGTAGCGCGACGGTGTGAGTCAGTCAATCATCATCCCGGCAGCAGCAGCAGCAGCAGCAGCAACAGCCGTACACGGTCACACACATACACGCACACAGTGTTTAGCCCGACCGCCATCATGGAAAGTCGTATTGCTAGATTTCTGCTTCACGCGCCGATCTTCGTTTATTACGTGATCGTCATTTGCTACGACGTGTTCGTAATAACACCCAACATCGATGCCGTGGTGGGACACGCGCATTCATACGGCGGTAAGCTTAAATACCTAACCTTTTGGGACATGTGCGTTCAGTGCATCTTCTTTGCTATCTGCACCGCCTCGGCGGTGTTCGAACGCAGCGACCGCGGCCCGCTGAAACGCGCATCCGACTTCCTGTTCGGCGCAATAGCGCTTCCGGTCAGCATGTTCGTCTTCGTGTCTTTCTGGGGGCTCTACGCGATCGACCGCGAGCTCATCTACCCTCGCGCGCTTGACGACTTCATTCCGACCTGGGTCAACCACGCGTGGCACACCGCCATCGTCGCCTTCCTCGTCGTCGACAGCGCCATCATACGGCGGCAGCTGCCCGCCAGGGGGCGCGGCGGCGCGGCGCTGGCGGCGTTCGGCGCGGTCTACATCTCGTGGCTGTTCTGGGTGAAGTTCGCCGGCGGCGTGTGGGTTTACCCGGTGTTCGCCATGCTGTCTCCGCTCGAGATCGCCGTCTTCGTCGGCGTCAACGCGCTCGTGATGGGCGCCCTCTACCTGCTAGGAAACACGCTGCACGCCGCCGCGTGGTCGCGCAAGCAGAAGCCGACGTGAGCGCCGTCGCCGCGGCAACGGGAGGCGGCGGCGGCGCCCCCGCTGCACGGACGGAGGTGGAGATTGCTTCTCCCTCCGTGGATTGGAGAAGAGATGGAGTCGAGAGGCAGAGATTCAGCAGACGAGGGAAGGAGACAGTGCCTCCCTCTATAATAAAAAGTGAGTAGAGACAGTGCCTCCTTCCTCCTCCAGGGGGCGGGGCGGTCGACGACCGAGGCGGCGAAAGAGCGATGTGGCGATTGCGTGCGATTTAGGAGAAATTTACCGACGGCATTCAATGACCTTTAATGACCTTAATGGTTTGAGGTCAGAGCGTTCAGGCGGCGTCTCTGTCGTCGGACGGTGGGGGTGAGCGGAGGAAATGGAACAGCCCCTGGTGAATGTCGGAAGCGTGCGATACCGCGATCGATTCAACAAGTGATTTAGGCAAATTCTACAATGATTTTACGACGGTGACGTCCACCTGCAAGGAGTGAGAAACCAAAGCGAAATCACCCGGCACTCTGGCCAGTGTGCAGTGGCGCCCCCTAACCACCGGCATGTGTTTAGTGGTGCCTTCTGCTGTTTGGTAGGCCTGCAGTGGTGCCCTCTGTTGTCTGGTGTGCATGCAGTGGCGCCTTCTATCAACTGTGTAGTGGATCTAATGAACAGCTAGACGGTGGACGATTCGCAGAACCCGAATGAAAAGTGTGTGCGTGCGTGCGGCGTACGTGCGTGTGTATGCGTGTGTGTACGTATATGTGCGTGCTGTATATTTGAGCGCGGATGTGTGTATATTTGTATTTCAGCAAATACGAGTGCATGTGTATATTTGAGAATGTGTATACGTCTGCGCGCATTTTTTTCGGGGACCGGCATCGAAAAGGCCACACATAGAGACTGCGCGCAGCCGCGCATGCGTACATACATACATACATGTACGCGTGACGATGACTCAGACCATGCCCTGAGACGTCATAAGGTGCCGGCTCCATTTGGCCGATGTCGGTAGTATCTACGGAGCGGCGGGCCCGCGGTGCGTACAGTATTTACGTAAGCAGAAACTTCAAAAGTCTACCTCCCACCAGGAGATCCGAGCAGGGAGAGAGGGAGCGGCAGACGGGGGGAGGGGGAGGGGAGCGGAAAAGAGGAAATCAGGAAAGGGAGAGGGAGCGGCAGACGAGAGGGGTGGGAGGGGGAAGGGAGCGGCGGGGAGAAGAGGACAGGAGAGGGTGGGCAGAGGAGATCAGGAGAGGGAGGGGAAGGGCAGGTAAGATATGGTAAGAAAATGATAGGCAGGAGGAAGAGAGGTGTATGCAAGAAGGAAGGGTAGTCTGAGGAAAGAAGGTGGGTAATATATGGGAGAAGGCAATGAAGGAACGGGAAGAGGTAATGTATGGGTAAACAATAATGTACGCTAGAAATTCTCATAACCTGACATAACTTTAGACGTCGGATTATAAAGTGTTCTCGGGAACAAATATTGGTTTAATATATGAGAATGTGTCGGAGAAGGTAGGAACGGAACTAGTGAGAGAGAGCGTGTGTGTAGTGAAAGAAGCGATGGTGGTGCGAGATATGGAAGTAGGTTGAAAGGGAGATTGTAGCATGGCGGGGAAGGACGTATAAAGGGGCCAAGACGACGTCCCCTGCAAAGTTTACTTTCACTCAAGTTCCGATTTCAGAAATTCAGCAAAGAACCAACCGCGACAGCCGAAGAAAAGAAACAACTGCAAACATTCGCTGCCATATTTAGAAGGCCGCCGCCAACGCGGAAAATTCGTAAAATGTTTACCTTAACGTTATTTTTACCACCGACCCATTTCTTTACGACCAACCTTGACGTTCTCCCATTAACCCCGTATTAACGTTACACAGCCGCGTGTAGCCGACGTGGCGGCTACGTCGGCGAGGGCAAGCGAAACGATGTGTGATCGAAAAAAAACCACGCACGCAAAAAAAAAACTAACGTCGCCCAGCTTCGTAGCAATTCAAGCAAACAAAATATCTATATTGTGGAATTCACCGTGTGTGTGTGTGTGTGTGTGTGTGTGTGTGTGTGTGTGT